AGTGTTATAGTAGTCCTTTTCCTTCAGAAAAAAAAAAAGAATAGACCATAGGAAACAGCCCAGTGCTCATTGGTCTGAGTGGCTGCAAGAGGAAAATTTCCTGAAAAGGAACACAATGACAGGAATTGTCATGTCTTTATAAAAGAGTGTTTTGTGTCAAGCACCAGAAGCTTTCCAACTTTCTGAGGGCTCACATACTGGAAGGACAAAGTTCTTGATGTGCTGTGCTGGTGTTTTCTGTCCTTAATGAATTGTTTTCTTCTGCTTGTTATGTGGTCATAACTAAAGTATGTCACTGTTGTGATTGAATATTTTGTGTACTCATGTTTTTAAGGTATTGTCATATCTCCTACATGTGGTTTAGGGCCTCATTTTCCTTTACCATGAAGTGTTCATTTTCATCATTTGTGTGCTACAGTTACAAAGAGATGCTGCTTTAAAAGAAAGTAAAAGAAGGAAATTTGGGAGAACATGATTAATTGCTAGGACATGAACACTCACTTTTCCTAGAAAAAGAAATATCTGAATGCAGCAAAAATGACTGAGAAGATGGGAACTCTTCAGCCTCAAGGAACTGGGAGATATGGTCTCTTGGGCAGATAATCAAAGGGACAAATGAGTGTGGGAAGTCTGTTTCTTGAAAAGCTTCTCTTGAATGAAAAATGGCAGGCCATCCCAATGCAGAGGAAAAAACAGAACACATGTACTAAACTAGTGAATATGTTTATCTAACAATCTGAGAAACCAAACACCACAAAAAAGTGGAAACAAGAGATTACTATAAGCATAATTCACAGAGTATATCAGTGTGAAAAAAATAGGAAACCAGACATAAAACCAGATGCAAAATAATTGCAACTAGCAAGTTGTGAGAAATTTAATGAAACAAAAGTGTTCGGAAATACACTTGATGAAAGGCAAAACAAAAATAAAGAAATTTAGTGATCCTACTAATGAATGACTAGCACAAGGCTGAAGTAATTGGTGTTTTATCCAACAATGGATGACAACTAGAGTGCTGTTTCCAGCAGGGGAGTCACACTGAAAAAATAGAATACAAATAGAGACAGGTCAAAGAACAAGGGCAGAAGGTTTAAAGATATGTTCTGCAAGAAAGCTGAAGGCACCAGTTGTTTTGGGTTTACCTTCAAAAAGTCAGTATGACTTTGATGAAGTTCTTTTCAATGGGGAAAATGAATGCCCTGAATTAGTGGCAAAGACATTTAGCGGAGACACTTTTTAAATGCATGGGAGGCAGTGACTCCAGTGTATATATTTGTTCTGTGTTCTTCTAAGTTCTATGACTTCCTTCATCCTGGCTTTCTTTAAAAGTGCTTGATTCCCATAGCAGAGGGAAACAGACAAGATGACCTCCTTAGGTCTTTTCATCTCCTATATTTCTTGAGCCCATAAACAAATAATGTTCACAAACTTATGGTGACTGTTGTGAAGGCAGAGTTCTGCCACCCTGAAATACTAGACTTAATATTACCTAGGTAGTCAGAGCACCTACACACCAGAGGGACAAATGGCAAAAGAAGCATTTTGGAGAGAGTCAGATCAAAGTAATATCTGTTTCTGGTTGAGCAAAAAGTACTACATAAACATATTTTCCTTTGACACTTCTTCTTCTTCCAATAAGAAGTAATATATAAGGACATAAAGTTGAGAAACTTAATATATTCTCAACCTTAAAACAATTTTTGTTGGGTATTTTTTGTTGGGCTTTTTGTTTGTTTGTTTTGGGGTTTGGGTTTTTGGGGGGATTTTGTTGTTGTTTTTTTTTGTTGAAGGCACCATTTGTCTTTGTCTTACTATATTGGGTCTTGTTTGATAGTGTCCCAGAAGTTTGTCCTAAATCATAGGGTAGTGCATACTATTTAATAATATCTTTGATTTGGATTTCTGATAGCTGACATAATAAACTTGCTGAACAGATTTTGCTAATTCTATTCTTGATACTTATGAATTACTTCAGGTAAATTTTACAAGACATTCCTATTTTCTGCATGACTTTTACACAGTCCAACTTGCGGGCATGTAACGCTACATACAGTCACAGGAGATATGTTTACAGGAATATGATACAGGATGTAAAGAGGCAACAGTCTGTAAATTTAAGGCATATTGCATTAGGATGATTTTACCTCCTTATTACCAAAAACCTAAAGTAATGAGGAAAAAAATTATCCAAGCAGTCATCGGTTAATTCTGGAACCATGTGATCCATTGCTGTCTTAATTTGCATGGGATTTAGTAAACAACATGAAAAAAAGCTACTGATCCACTTGGATGACAGCATGATAATTCATAAACTTCCTGTTTAGTCAAACTTTTCACTTTCTCAGACAAATGTATGATTGCTTTTGTGCTCAGTCCTTCAGGAATTAATTATTCTTTTACTGGTACATTACCTACTAACTCAAAAAATCTAAACACAGTTTGATGCCAGTGAAGAGTATTGCCCTTTATATATTTGTCAAGGGTATCTTAAAGCCTAATAACCGTGGTGAGGAATGTACAACAAAATGAGAATAAAATGTATGAGAAGAAACAAATCCGGAGAACTACAGAGAGAATAATTATACACTGTATGAGTACTTGTCTTGCTATCAGATTTATGTAATGTTATTTGTGAAAGCGGTGCATGGATCCATGCTAGTTTTCCCTTTTATGACTGGGAAGAGGCTCAAGAGGATTGTGGATTTGCCCCTAGTAGTGAAACAAGGGATGCCTCTGTTGGAAAAATTCTTTGTTAGTATAAAGTTAATTTAGATGGTGCTGTGTCAATCCTTCAAAGTCCTGTAGGTGAAGAGGGAGTGCAATTAACAGTCTAGGAGAAGCCACCTCAAGTCAGAATAGCTCTGTATTTCTGGATTCACAAAAGAGAAAAGCTTGTGCACACAAATATACATAAAACCCTCCCACAGGCTGGCATTATGTTCATCACCCACACACACAAACAGAGCATTTTTTTAAACTTTAAATCCTTTTCCTATCAAGAAAAAAAATGTCAAAGATGTTATAAAACTTGTTTATTTTGACTTCTTATTATTGAAGATTGAAATCTCACCACCACCCCCAAATCGCACCACCACCCCCAAATAGGTGCAAAATTAACATTGCACAAACATCTCAAACTCAAAAGATAGATCTATTCAGTTCAATCGTATGTATCAGAGTGATTCAGTCTCAACTGACTCACTTATATAATGACTGTACCAGAATGTTCAAAGCTTTATATAGCAACGCCTAAAAACTTCTCCAGAAGTTGTTGTGTATAGCAGACATGATGATGCTCTCAGGCAGCTGCACTGTGAAGTTCAAGAGTTTATTTGTCAGGGTGACCACAAAGCCAGCAAATGTACACATTTGTACGTGCCTGAAATCCTTCCTTTATTATAATCCACTTTGCTTTTATTGGTTTTGGCTCTGGAATAAAATAAAGATTTCTTAAAAGAGACCTGCGGAGCTAAATTTAGAAGAAGAGTTTACAATGGGGTAAGGAAGGTTTTGAGGATGTAAATGTTTTGAAAACTAATGTGACTTTAAGTGTGAGTATTTCTATTTAATAGCATATATTTCCACCATCTTAGCTAAAAATTGCTTTGCTTCATTTTTTTCCTAGTTTTACCTTGGAGTCTGTACTAAGGAAAAAAACAAATCCTACTAGAATACCT